GCCTGTAATCCCAGCTACTTGGGAGGCTGAAGCAAGAGAATCACTTAAGCCCAAGAGTTGGAGGTTGCTGTGAGCTGTGACACCATAGTACTCTATCCAGGTCAACAGCTTGAGACTCTTGTCTCCAAAAAAAAATTTATTTTTGAAAGAAATTCAAAGCTCAGTAAATATTCTTTTTTCTCTCCTTTTTTAAAAATTTTTGATCAACATAATTTAAGTGTGCTGCTGAAGTTTAAGTGTACTGTGATTTAAAAAAGGTTGAAAAACACTGAGACAGAGGTGGGTACCATGGCGTCATCATAGTTCACAGCAATTTCAAACTCTTGGCCTCAAGCTATCCTCATGCCTCAGTTTCCTGAGTAGCTTGAACTACAGGCACCTACTGCAACGCCTGGCTAATATTTCTGTTTTTGGTAGAGACTGTGTCTCACTCTTGCTCAGGCTGATCTAGAACTCCTGAGCTCAAAAGCAGTCCTCTCAGGTGGCGCCTGTGGCTCAAAGGAGTAGGGTTCAAACTCAGCCCCCCAAAAACTGTGCCAAAAAAAAGGCAATCCTCTGATCTCCGCCTCCCACAGTGCTAGAATTAAAGGTGTGCCCCACCCACCTGGACTAGTATCAACTCCTTTTATTTATTTATTTATTTGCCTACTCTTTAAAAAAAAAAAAAACAAACATTTTCAACTGGGCACAGTGGCTTGTGCCTGTGATCAATCCTAGCACTTTGGGAGGCTCAGGCAGAAGGATTGTTGGATTCTAGGAGTTTGAGACCAGCCTGAGCAAGACTGAGACCCCCCATATCTACAAAAAATACAAAAAACTAGCCAGATGTGGTGGCATATACCTATAGTCCCAGCTACTCTTGAGGCTGAGGCAAGAGGATCATTTGGGCCTAGGAGTTTCAAGTTTCTGTGAGCTATGAGGCCACTGCACTCCAGCCTGAGTGACAGAGTAAGACTCTGTCTCAAAAAAAAAAAAAAAAGAAAGAAAGAAAATATTTTTGTAGACTTGCCTCCGCTTCAAATACTAACTGGAATCATTTTTATTATCACATCACTTTGTGCAAACATAAAACTGTGTTAACTCTTTTTTGTTTGTTTTGCTTTTGCTGTTACACACAACCATAAAACCAGTTTTCCAAATGGATGTAAAACATGAATATAAAAACAATTCCATCTAACTGTATGAATTTAAAATGGCAGATGCTATTTTGCTGGAGCTACCGGAGCTGTAGTGTGTAGTATGACAGGACTCCCTGGAAGCTGAGTAAGTCTGGCTCACCATAGGCCCCTGGGGACTTTCAAGGAAGGTCTGGCTGCCTCAGGGCATGCCCTGAAGGGAGGGGTTCTAGTGGTGATCACACTGCCTTACAGTCTTGCTGAAAGTTAAGTGTTAAGAGTGTTGTGACTATCTGGCACTCACTGGTGGAAACTATACCATGAATCCCACATCAGCCTCAACTGCACACCTCTGAACTTCACGCTGGCTCTTTCCCCAGTAAATCACCACTTGCTGTACATATATATTTCTGGGATTTGGCTTTTGTCCCACCTGGTCCAAGCCATTATTGTCTGATCATTACTTAAATACGTCTTGTTAGCCTAATGACAGCATCACCTTCCCCTGTCTGCACTTTGGGCCTCAGTCCTGGACCCTCATGTCTAGGCTACACTGACCACTGCCCCAAGACTCCTACCTGGCAGGGAAGATTCCTGATCACTAAAGGAGCTATATACTCCCACGTGCCTGGGCTGGGTCAGAACACTGGGTCATGTGACTGTAATTGCGTTTTATTTATTTAGACAGAGTCCTACTTTGTTACCCTCAGCAGAGTGCTGTGGCACATAGGTCACAG